TAGATCAATATATGTAAAGTATATTACTTTAAAAGTAGCTCTGGTAACTTAGTCCGTAGGGAATTGTGCTGCTAACCCAATTTCCACACCTCTCTGGTGATTCAAATCTCCTTGTGGCTCTGTGGGGAATAGATGAGAAATCTCTACCTGGGCAATTTACATCCTTAAAAATCCAAGTGAAGGTCAGTTTTGAGTCTGTTTTGAATTGACAGCAATAAGTGAGTACGTGCATGGTGTACAGAGGGCTCTGTATCATGCATACTAATTTCTCTCAGTCACACACAAAAAAATATTTAAAAAAATCTATGCCTTTAATACTCATGGTGGACACTGGTGGAGCTCCCAGTTTAAGACAGGTTTGGAAGCAGGAGTGGCATCCACTTTGTAAGCAACATGCCTCTGGAAACTCTATTAACTCTGATAAATGACAACAGTTAGAGAAAGGCTTCGGGTCTTTTGTTCATAGGGTTGCTGTAAGTTGTGCTCGACTTGATGGCAATCAATAATAACATTCATGAAATAAAGAAAGTTATTTCCAAACTAATGTTAATTTTCTTGAGAATGATAATATGATTGTTTCTGTTCTTAGGAGCTGCAGGTTGCAATATTTAGAAGTAAATGCCATGAATAAACCAGCTTACTAGGCAGTCAAGCAATAAAGTACAATATAGAAAAGAAAAATAAGGCAATGTGCTAGCAATCTGTGATTTGAAGAGGATAGTAAATCGATGTTGGTGTACTATTCCAACTTCTTATACTTTTAGAATATTAGTAATAAAAAGTTGAGGAGAGTACAAAAATGTAAAAATATCCCTAAGTACAAAGCTTTACACAGATTCTAAAAGTAAGTTGCCCTAATTAAGAAAACTAATATAGTGAAAATTTCAGTATGATATATACAATTTTCTTGAGACCTATTAACATTTTACATATATACACTGGAGAGGGACAAAATAAAAAAACAAAAATTAGGTGAGGCTGCGGACCTGGAGCGGCGGCCGCGGGTCCTGGCGCCATGGCTGTGGAGAGGACCTGGCTGCTGCGAGGCTCTGGCGGCCCGAGCGTGCCTAGTCGGTGTGTGCCCGGCGCGAGGTCCCGGGCCCCGGGGTGCTCGCTCAGGTAAATTTTTCCATAACCTTATGGAGAGAAAGGAGTTTGAGACATGGCTTGATAACATTTCTATTACATTTCTTTCTCTGACGGACTTGCAGAAAAATGAAACTCTGGATCACCTGATTAGTCTGAGTGGGGCAGTCCAGCTCAGGCATCTCTCCAATAACCTGGAGACTCTCCTCAAGCGGGACTTCCTCAAACTCCTTCCCCTGGAGCTCAGTTTTTATTTGTTAAAATGGCTCGATCCTCAGACTTTACTCACATGCTGCCTCGTCTCTAAACAGTGGAATAAGGGGATAAGTGCCTGTACAGAGGTGTGGCAAACTGCATGTAAAAATTTGGGCTGGCAGATAGATGATTCTGTTCAGGACGCTTTGCACTGGAAGAAGGTTTATTTGAAGGCTATTTTGAGAATGAAGCAACTCAAGGACCATGAAGCCTTTGAGACCTCATCATTAATTGGACACAGTGCCAGAGTGTATGCACTTTACTACAAAGATGGACTTCTCTGTACAGGGTCTGATGACTTGTCTGCAAAGCTGTGGGATGTGAGCAGAGGGCAGTGCATTTATGGTATCCAGACTCACACTTGTGCAGCGGTAAAGTTTGATGAGCAGAAGCTTGTGACAGGCTCCTTTGACAACACCGTGGCCTGCTGGGAATGGAGCTCCGGAGCCAAGACCCAGCACTTCAGGGGACACACAGGGGCGGTGTTTAGTGTGGACTTCAATGATGAACTGGATATCTTGGTGAGTGGGTCTGCAGACTTCACTGTGAAAGTATGGGCTTTATCTGCTGGGACATGCCTGAACACACTCACCGGGCACACGGAATGGGTTACCAAGGTGGTTTTACAGAAGTGCAAAGTCAAATCTCTCTTGCACAGCCCTGGAGACTACATCCTCTTAAGTGCAGACAAATATAAGATTAAGATTTGGCCAATTGGGAGAGAAATCAACTGCAAGTGCTTAAAGACATTGTCTGTCTCTGAGGATAGAAGTATCTGCCTGCAGCCGAGACTTCATTTTGATGGCAAATACGTCTGTAGTTCTGCACTAGGTCTCTACCAGTGGGACTTTGCCAGTTACGATATTCTCAGGGTCATCAAGACTCCTGAGATCGCGAACTTGGCCTTGCTTGGCTTTGGAGAGATCTTTGCTCTGCTATTTGACAACCACTACCTGTATATAATGGACTTGCGGACAGAGAGCCTGATCAGCCGCTGGGTCTGCCAGAGTACAGGAAATCAAAGAGAGGCTCAAGCTTTCTGGCAGGTGAAACATCCTGGCTGAATGGACTGGATGGGCACAATGACACAGGACTGGTCTTTGCCACCAGCATGCCTGACAACAGTCTTCACCTAGTATTGTGGAAGGAGCATGGCTGATGCCCCAAGCTTCCTCATCTGACTGACTTTGGGTGCCAGGGCTGCAGGTTTTGAGTGCAACCTCTGTGGCAGCTGACTGCATGAACCAAAGTTCTCACCTAATGGTACCATCACGCAGTGCACAATCATTTATCTATGTTTGCCGAGGGCCTTGGGTGGGGGAGGGCTTGTTTTATTGATTTACAATGCAGCATGCTAATGGGATACACCATTGACTTCATTTGTACTTAGTTAAGTTGGTCATTAGAAGAGGATGCATTTTGGGTTCATCTTTCTTGTCTGGAATATTGGTTTTAAGTAAAGAACATCAGATTGGTAAAAAAAAAAACAACCAAAAAAACAAAAATTAAATACTTATATTCAGGAAATGTCAAGTCTGCAAAGCTGTTCTTATTAGGATTTTTTTTCTTTCTAAATCTACTAATTATTATTGGATTAAAATAAATTCTATTTTAACTTCTTAGAAGTACTACTCTAAGGAAATCAGAACTGCCACCCAAGCAGATATATGCACACCCATGTTTATTGCGGCTTTGTTCCCAACAGCAGAGTTGGAAACAACCCAAATGCCCATCAACAAACTAATGGGTAGAGAAGCTGTGGTATAGCCACACAAAGGAATACTACTATGCAGCACTGAAAAACAAGGAACTCTTGAAATATACAAAATGGGTGACTCTGGAGGACATTATGCTGAGTGAAATATCTCAGTCACAAAAGGACAAATACCACACAGTGCCATTGTAAAAGAGGACTGACATAGGGGTTGTGGGTACCCAAGAAAAGAGAGGACAAATAATATATATTTCATTGAAACAGATGAGGAGAGAACTGTTTAAAAGGAATATATGATTAGGTATTATTTTCATGACAAGAGCCCAGAATAAGAGCTGCATAGTAAAGTGGACTGGGGGGAGGACTTTTTTTTCTCTTCAAAGAGAAAAGTGAACTGGGGGAAGGGAAGGGTGGACAGGGAGGAAAATATGCAACAATGGAAATCCAAAGTCTCTGTAAACTTTCATTAAAAAAAAAGAGAAAAAAAAAGAATTTCAAGTACTCTTTGCTTTGATCAAATAAGACTATGCCACCTGCATAAAAAAAAGAAATAAGTAGGACTTTGGGGTTGAAAACAAATGATATAAGCAAATGAAAGAAGAATTTTAAAAGCAACAACAAAAAAATTTAAAACCAAATACATACCTTCATATATACAACAGCCTGATTTACTACAGTAAGAATGTAGCACTTAATTTTGCATTTCTTCATGTCAAATGTAGTTCACCTAAAGAATTTATTATCTAAAAGATGACAAAATGAACATCTACACTACTTCAAGATAATTTCAATAAATGTGAATGCATGCTATGTACCAGATACTACCTTAGGTGCTGGGAGGAAATAGCATGCATAAAATTTGGCCTTTACATACTTAAAAAAACCACTACAACAACAAAGAAAAATAAAAAACAGGAGGACAGGATGGTTAGAATCAATAGAAATTCTAAGTGTTTACTAACTAGAACAAGGTACAGGAAAACAGGCATCGCTGGAGAGCAAAGAAAGCACAATGAATAGGCAACCAGGGCTACACAAATGGAACTTCGTAACAACGGGTGCAACATTGATCAAATCCAAACAAAGAGGAGAACACACCTCCTTTAGAACACTTGAAGAAGGGGTCCTAGTGACCAGAACCAATGCATATTTCCTATCAACACAAATACAACAGAATGGCAAAGAGCCTAGATAAAGCAATGGGAAAGGAGCACACCGCCACCAGACACTCAGTTACTGCACATAACCAACAGGACCTAGAAGAAAATATTAATAGGAAAATATCAGAGCTAAAATCCCTACTCCTTCAGTAGAATTCGAATATGCCATCATTCCTGTTCAATTAAGTTAGAAAGAAAATAGATTTTTATATTCTTCCCACAAAACAACTTAGGACTTTTAAGAATCAGATCAACATTTAGAAACCTTTCTAATAATCTGTCTGTTAAACCTAACAGGTGTAAATCCACCCACAGGTACTGTGGAAGGGAAGTCTGCTGTTCTGCTTCTTTAATGATTAAGCCAAGAGAGAGCTCTGGTGGCCTACTGGCAACAAGCTGTGCTGCAATCCTGAAGGCATGTGGTTCAAATCCAGCAGACGCTCTGCTGGAGAAGGAGGGGCAATATCTTCTTGTGCCAGTTAGATCTGACTCAGTGGTACACAACAAGGCAAAAAAAAAATCACAGCCAAGAAAACCCCAAGCACTAGTTTTATTCTGGAACACATGATGTCCCCATGACTTGGAATCAATTCAATAAAAAGAAATGTTTATTGCTGGTTTTAGTATTGGGGGGCAGAAAAACCCAACAGTGGGTTTTAGAAAAAAATTCTAGGTTAAAATCTGACCATTATTTTCACTACTGAATCAACCCATTCAACAAATAATGGCTGTTATCCAAAATATCCCATGATGTTACCATGCACTGGTAATGCATGGTTTCTCACCTAATACTCTGAACAGAAGAATTTAATGTTTCCTCCTGCATGCTGCTGGCTGTGGACGCTTCTCCTTCTGGGACAGTCTGTACTGGCTGCACTACACGAACAGTCCGGTAGAGCTGAGTAGGATACGGAGACTGTGGGGACTGCAATGTCCTCAAAGTTTCTGACGGCTGCACAACTTCCACAGGCTCTTTGGGTTTCGTAGCTTTTGAATTCCCTGGTTTGAGGACTGGAGTGGCTCCTCCTTTGATCCCTGTACTTGAAGATACTCTGGATCGGCTTCCTTGGTTCCTACTGGAAGCGGCTGTTGAAGACAGTGATGGATCTGAAGACTCTATGCTGGAACTTGGATCATCATCGTCTATATAAACAAGATCTTTTGGCATTTCTTTAAATTGATACACCAAGCGCTGACCTTCCACTTTTGCCAGAATACCCCTTTGGTAATAGTACCTATTGAAGGCAGAGAATATGATCAATATTTTTTTCAAATATTAAAATTATTTTCATTAAGACCAAATAGTGCTATTACATAAACAGAAGATTAAAGAGGAATACATGTAAAATAGATGTACATTTACTCACATAGAAAAGCCCTTATTACCGATTAAATCTAAAACAAATTGCAATGAAGGTCTATTATTGAGAAAAGTATATGAAATACTCTAGACCTTCACTTTTTTCCTTCCTCTACCCCTCTGCTTCTTGCCTTTGGCAGGAATTATCAAATTTACTACAATTCTCCATTCCACCCCTAATATCTGGCTTCTCTCCCAAATCTTCCCATAAAGTTCCCAAAGTTTAAATGTGTTTGATTCAGTCACTTGATAGTGCTAAATCACAATAATGATGTATAAAGAAAAAATGGAAATTTTGTATAAAGTAGTAACTGAAATTCTGTCAATTTTAATTAAATCAAGCAGCAGCAAAGGCGTAAGTTTAACCGCAGATACGAAATAGCAATGAAATAATTCTTGTTTCCACAGGTATGAAGTTCGAATCCACAAGCTGTTCTGCGGGAGAAAGAGGGGCAATATACTCCCAGACTCTGGAAACCCACCAGAGGGTCACCGATGGGTTGATTTCAACTCGATGGTACTTAACAACAACAGCTAAATAAAGGGAGCTCTGGTGGTGTGGTCCATAGGGTATTGTGCTGCTAACCCAAAGGTGGCGTCTCCAGCAGTTCAAATCCACCAGCTGCTGTGAAGGAGAATGATGGGCAGTCTTCTCCCGTGCCAGTTATAGTCTTGGAAATCTGCTGGAGGGCAAGTTATTGAGTTGGTTCTGACTCCACAGCAATTAGGTTTGTGGTTTTCTTCTTGTTGTTGTGTATCATCAAATGGTATCCAACTGGCACAGGAGGAGATTGCCCCTCCATGGATTTGAACCGCTTGCCTTTGGGATTGCAGCACAGCTTGTTGTCACTAGGCCACCAGATCTCCAGCAATTAGTTTTTAGTTTTGTTTTTTGAGTACAGATAAAGTTTACCAGTTAAATATACCTTCAAAATAATTCAGATCACTATTTCTAACATGATTATCAAGGACACATCTATTTTGAAGAAAAATGACATAATTACAGAAAAACCAAAATGAGCTCAATAAGAAAATAGTACACAGTTCAAATTTTTCACAGTCTACCATTACTCTGAGAACTGCCTCTGAAAACCTGCCAGTGGGTCAGCTCTGGGTCGGTTCTGACTCTGTGGTACACAACAACTATTACTCCGAAGTATTCATTTACTCTACCTCAATATGTATCATATCTGAGATTTATGTTTTGGAATGATCCATTAGTAGACCCTCCATAAGGACTTGGTGCTAAGTCAAAGTTTATTGTTTCAGGGGGAGCTCTGGTGGCCTAGTGGCAAGAAGCTGCACTGCAATCCCAGAGGAACACGGTTCGAATCCACCAGATGCTCTGCCGGAGAAGGAGGCGCAATATCCTCCTGTACCAGTCAGATCTGATTTGACGGTACATGCACACAAAATAATAATAAAAAAAAAAGTTTATTGTTTCAAAACAAAAAAGCTCTGTGATTGATTTACAATTGCAGCTGATAGCCTAGCATTCTAGAACCCATTTGTAAATAAAACATGTTTTGCACAAAAATTTCTTGGAAGGAAAACATTTTCCGAGATTGGAATAACAAGATTTCTAAATAAAGGGATACTAGTTTTGATATGTAAAAGAAATAAAATTCATTAATAATGTAAACTATGTCTTTAGTTCCTTAATTTTTCAGCAGTGAACTGCATTTTCAGTATTTGGGTAATGAGAGTCCAAACACAATGAACTAAAAGCCTCACCTACCTGAGAGCTCTTCCCATGGTCTCATAATTCATATCAGGTTTATTTTTGTGCTTCCCCCACAATCTGGACACTGCTTTAGAATCTACCAATTTAAAAATGCCTTTTTCTCGCTGGGTCCATTTGATATATTTGGGACAGGTCGCTTTGTCCTGAAGCAGAGCCAATAAAAATTCCCAAAGATAAATTGTGTTCCCTGAAATAAAAGCAATTTTAATTAACAAAAATTTCCTTTGAAAGACAAAAGATATAAAACAGATCAACCTTGTCATTTAGATTTGGGATGTCTTTTGGAAAGCATTTTAAACTTAAGGGTTTTTTTTCTTCCTTTTTAAGAACTATTACATAAAATACACAGTGGAAAAAATGGTACAAAATTTTGCAATAGTTCTTGGTTTATTTGAGGCAGTCTATCAGTCATGTAATAATTTTCTTCAATTCTGAGAAGCACTTATGAAAATACTGGAACATTAAGAAAATATTAAGTATCTATGAAGAGAGAACCTAACCGGGCTAAACTCTTAGTTCTAAGAGTCTCAGTGCATAACAAAAGAATGAATTCTCTTATGACATGCTCGTGAAAATCACTAAAATAGACTTCTTGAATTTTATAATTACTCATCTCTTTAAGAATGTGTTAACCACATCTTATAAACATGTGACAGCAATAAGATCCATTTCAAAGGCCAAGGAAGCTGGTGATTTCCAGTCTAAATATGCAGACACTCTAATGCCACCTGAATGCTTTGACCTATATATTTGTGTTAATAGGGAAATTGTTGTAACACTCACCCTTCCCATCTTTGCTTTTCTTCTTCACAGATATGTTTGGTGTAGTGGTTGGGGAATCGGGTCGTGGTGGTTTAGTTTTTCTCCCTGAAATGACAATAGCTCTGCATGAAAGTCTACCCTCAAAAGTGAAAGAAAATATATCCCTAAGTTGCTTATAAAAATGCTATTTTGGCATTTGCCCTAAATACAAGTGCCAAATGCTTCGGTCACATAGATTAGCTTCCTAAATCATCATTTAGCTAAAAGAAAGTAACATAAGTAATAATGAACATTAATATAAGTTAGATTACAAACCTATTTATGTAGAAAGTAATTATTTTATTCACCTATAAAAATGAGATGAATTTTTAAAATCACTTTTTGTCTTTGAGGTGATAATATCAGCACTGCTTTCTCAAAATTCTTGAGAACATTTTTTAGGCTAATCAAGCAAATAGATTTACCTGCTTTTTGCTTATATCTAAGGTATGAGAAGGGAATTTTTGCTTTTCACTTCTAAATACATCCAGTTAGTTTACAAATACTGGACATTCCTAGAGTTCTACAGAGATCTAGAAGATGTTGCAGCACAATTTGTGAACTATAGACTTAATTTTCCTTAATGTTCTGAACATCTCATTCTCTACTTTTTTCAATTTACAGAAAATAAACCTTGTAAGTCTCAACCATCCAATCTCCAAACAAATCCAGTCAGGGAAGTCCTACTATTCTAAAGCTTTTTTGCAATCTTCCTTTGCCACTTCTCTAGAATCACAGCTTGGTGGCAATGTTGCCTATGAGTTAAGCTGAACTGATCACCGATGCTAACTGAACACTGCTGTCCGTGACAAACACTGTAGATTAAGCATAAATATATAATTTAGTTAATAGGTCTAATATTCCTAAGATTAAGTCTAGATTTTGGTCATATTCTAACACTGAATTCTGGAATAATGGTGGACAATAACCATGAAAAACAGAATTCTACAGATAAAGTGTCAAGACAGATAAAGTGTCAAGACAAGCCATGAACACAGAAAAAGATTAGGGAAAAACTTTATTTTTATAAAAGATATCATCTATTTTATGTTACAAAGTTTGAAAGATAAGAAGAGGCTCAAAAAGGTCACTCTTTTGGCCCCCTCCTAACACTGTGAAATGTATGACTATGGAGCCAGCCAGCCAGGAACCTCAACTTCCAGGACTGCAGAGAGCTGCCGAGAACCTACTCCCAGGCTTCTGGCTGGTTATGCTCCTAACAGAAGAGCAGCTAGAATGTGTGACTTCAGTAACATTCTACCATCTTTTCTGTGCTATCTTATCTGCTTTAAACTGTGCATAATTTTTAATACTTACCTATTCTTCCCCCTCCTCTTTTTAATTTTAAGATTATTATTTAAGTGAAAACTTACAAGGCATGTTACTTCTTTCAATCATTCAAAATGCACATTTTGTTCTGCAACATCAATTGCATTACACCAATGTCTAATCATTCTTCCATTCACTTCATATGGTCTTTCTCTTTACCTACTTTAGTGTTTATTGACTCATTTTCTACTGCCCAGTCTTTTCCCCTCCCTGGTTGCCATACTAGGATGATGCTCTCTCTATGTAATCATTTCTCTAGTCTTCTGTAACACTGGTTTTATACAGTATTTGTCCTTTTGTGACTTATTTCACTCAGAATAATGTTCTTAAATAATTAAGATTTTCTTTATTCCTATTGTTTAATTCCATTACATAAACCATGGAACACAATGCTGGTAGTCTATCATCCATTCTGTCCATATTTTCCTTACTGTCCAAGGTGGTAATGAACTCAACTTCACATGAAGTATTGTGTGGGACTTTTTGTGGTGTGTTATTTCTTCCCTGTCCTTTTATTTTATGTATCTTTTTAGGCTTTCATTCAGAGCTTCTCTGATTCCAATATGACAATGATTCTCATTTAAGTTTTACCCTCAGTTTGTTGGTTTCCACTAACTTTTGGGGAACAGGAGACATAAGAGGAGCATCTGGTGATCTGTATCTTTTTAATAATGTATTTATAATGCATGGGTTTATTTTTGCTACACTACTTAGGATACACTATACTGAGAAATAATGTAATTTTGAAACATTCTAGTCATTATCATTCTGAACAGTTTCCTTCATCACTCTACAGATTGTCTCTTTTTAAAGCTTTAAATATGCATGTAAACCTTTTCTTCTAACTATTAATGCTCCCAACTCTTTCATACTTTTTAGCCAACGTCAGAGCTATAATGAGCTCACTAGTTCTCTCTTCAGAAGTCTTCTGTGTAACATATGTGGGATGTTTTCAAGTCTGTAAGTTCTGGCATTTTCCCTCCTATTATTTGGTCTTTCATGGTTTTTTTTTTTTATACTTTTTTTTTTTAATTTTGCACATAAAACCACTGAAGGTGCTGCCTGTTGACATCTTGGGGATCACATCATGGTACACATGGCCTGTGACTCAGTGGGAAACACAGTGAGAAAAACAATGATTTGGGTCGCTCACATGACAAATTCAGGTTTCCAGATGGTCAAGCTTGGCTTCAGGAGCAGCTCTAATGAAGCAGTAAGAACATGACCAGGAACGGGGAAGGGAGTTAACTACCAGAGGCCCTGCAGTACTGGTCTGATGCCTGGAGCTGCCATTTGCATCAGGAGCAGAGGTCTAATGAGCTGACTAGGAAGGTGGCTGACCAGAGCTTAGTTGGCGAGAGGGTTTCTGAACTTCTGGCCAGCAAACCGAGCCTTGCTGCCCAGCTCCTCTTCAATTCTGAGGATCTGGTTGTACTTGGCCAAGTGCTCTGATCGGCAAGGTGCACCTGTCTTGATCTGGCCAGTGCAGAGTCCCACCACCAGGTCAGCAATGACAGTATCCTCAGTTTCTCCAGAACGATGAGACACCATGACACCCCAACCATTGGACTGGGCCAGCTTGCACGCCTGAAGAGACTTGGTCACAGAGCCGATCTGATTCACATTGAGCAGAAGGCAGTTGCAGGACTTCTCATTCACAGCCTTGGCAATTCGCTTGGGGTTGGTCAACAGTGAGATCGTCTCCTACCACCTGGATCCCTGAACTGGCAGTGAACTTTGTCCAGGCGCTCCAATCATCCTGGTCAAAGGGATCTTCGATAGACACCACTGGGTAGTCCCTGATGAAGGACTTGTACAGGTCTCCCAGCTGGTCAGGTAAGATGTACCTGCTGGGGTCATCAGGAGACTTAAAGTCCAGGTCGTACTTCCCAGAGCGGAAGAACTCGGAGGCAGCAACGTCCATGCCAATCACCACCTTGTCAGTGTAGCCAGCTTTCCCAATCGCAGTCTTCAGCAGTTCCAGGGCTTCTTTGTTCTCCAGGATGTTAGGGGCAAAGCCACCTTATCCCCCACATTGGTGGTATCCTTGCCGTACTTGTCCTTGATGACGTTCTTCAGGTTG